TAACATATTATAGAAAGCAATTTAGATAGGCAACCAAGTGGCCAGCCGTTAATGGCAGCAATAACACGCTCGCGATTCGCACCGTTCGAGCGGTCGCGGTCGGCTCGGCTGCAAACTCTTCTTCGTTTCCTTCCTTTTCTTCGTTTTCTTCGTTTTCTTCGTTTTCTTCGTTTTCTTCGTTTTCTTCGTATCCCGGCCACCGAACATTGGTCCGTTCGAATCTTCTTTCCTCGAACGCGAATCAAACGCAGCCAGCCCGATCCAACGATCTCGCGTAGCCTCGCGCACTCGCCGCCTTTTAACCTCCATCGTCTAATCTCTTCGTTTATGCGCTTCTTGTCTTTCTCGTATCATCGTTTATATAGAAACTACCCGATGTTGCAGCGGCGGAACGTTTCACGCGTTCGCCATTAGTATCTTCCAGTGATTTCACAGCCGACACACGGAGGAGAAGACGCGATCTCGTTGCAACCACCACCACCACCACCACCACCACCACCACCATCGCCATATTTCATCCGTTCCCGTGTTTCTTCTCGCGGTCTGTTCCAAAGCGTAACGCGTTCTGTACCTCGGGATATTTTCGTAAAGCGAAACGCTTCGATATCGCGAGACGTCGATCGCGATTAACCGCTTTAACGACGATTGCCCTCGATTCGCCTCGCGTCTCATCGTTTCGCCGCTTTGTCGCAATCTCCCTTTCTTTCCGACCCCTCGTCGTCGCGCGATTGTTCTTCGCGAATCGCGCGCGACAAATCTCTCCGCGCCGTCTTTCTCGTTCGAGATCGTTCCGCGGGATCGACGGGAATTTTCGAGCGAGAGATGCGAAAGATGGGAGGGGGAGAAAAGAGGGAGGAAAAGGAAAAGAGAAAAAAAAGAAAAGATAGAAAGAAAAAAAAGTAAAAGAAAGGATCGACGAGGTGTGCGTAAAGAGAACAAAAAGAGAGACGACAGCGGGCTTAGGCCGGAGAGAGCCCGGAGGAGGATAAGGGTGGGAAAATGGGGGTATCGGAGAGGTGGAGGGGAATTTGGAAGGTGTATTATATATATATATATGTCCGGGGAAACGTGCGTGTCGAGTCCGTCGGCCAGCTACCTCCAAGATCGGGGTCGATCTCTGGGTTTGGGGTGCAGCCAGGGTATCACGAAAAAAAAAGTCGAAATCCCTGACTATTTTCTAGCTGACTATTCGACCCTGCTGAAGCTGAAGGCGCCCACGTGGACGCGGCACGATCTCCAGGAAGCGATCGAGGCTGTGGTTACTCAGAAGATGCGCTTCACCCAGGCGTCCACGAAATACGGAATACCGAAAGGCACATTGTACGACAACATCCTGGGAAAGACGAAGAGAATGATGGTGCTGGAGGAAGCCGGGCTGAACTCGAGCGAGGAAACGGCCGTGCTCGAGTTTTGCTGCGACATCAGCGTCAGTCCGTACAATCGTCGCACGAAAAAGTCCCTGAACGCGATCCTGAACTTCGTGGAGAAGCTCAGGCGAAAACGCGACCCTAATTTCGTGTTTAACGGTCTCTCTGGCTTCCGTTGGTGGTGGGCTTTCTGTAAAAAGCACTCGATAGTATCTCTTTACTTCAACGACGAGAACGAGAACGATCAGTAGAATTCGCGGCGAGAGAGAGAGATCGCTCGCGTCTCTCGCGAATCGTGCCTTCTCGCGGCGACGAGTCGCGCCGAAATCCTCCGACTATTCGCGCGTTACGCTCGCGAACGTAATCGCCGGAGACGCAGGCGTGGCTAGATCGTCGCGAGGTAAAACGTTGGTCCCCTCGAGGGTGAGAAACGACGACTCGATCGCGTCCCGCGATTCCCCTTCGATCGATATTTTTCACATTCCACGCGCGTATTCCTCGCGAAGCTTGCCCGTGTACGCCAACGAAATTCCTCCGACGCCGGGCGTGCTCGGATTTATACGCGTATTCTCTCCTATTCGAAGCGCGGGACCACGAGCGTCGTAATAAGAGTCGTAGCAATAACGACCATAGTAACGTTTATATCGTAGTAAAAGCAATAATAATATATCGCGTTATCGCGGTTAACGATTATTCCGGCGATAAGCCAGTGCCTTCTGCCCGACGTCTTCCAGTCCGTGTAGTTTAATAAATTCGATCCTTATTTTTAGTCGCTGTGACTCGAGCCTCGCCGTCACGAATACGGGATAGAGAGTAGATCGATAAAAGCGGCAATATTTTTATAATCTTGTGAAATCATCGCGGCGGGTCGTCTTGCGTTCGATTGTGATATCAGCGAATCTCAAATTGCGCACCGTCGCAATAATCATTGTTCGTCGATTTATCTTTGTTTCGCAATTAGATATACATAGGATCATGCGTGTATAAAGCGTAGATTTCTTTTTCTCCGCGAGCAGTACATTCCATTGGAAAAGACAGGACGAAAGTTCACCGTAAGAACTCGATCGCGAAGCAGAGTACGTTTCGATAGCGTTAAAGATAAGAAACGAGCGTCGGACTATCGTACGAATGTTGACCAGTCGGAAACAGTGATGTCGTAACCGCTTATCGATCCGTTTCGATTAAACGCTTCTCGATCTCGAAACGGATCTCGTACCTCGAGAGAAAAGAAAGAAACGACGAGGTAAAAGTTTCGATTCCTTCTCTGTTTTCCAACGATCGGTAACTACCGCGTTGTATCGGCGGTAATGGAACACTCGCGATAAAAGAGCATAATAGGAGCGAGAAAAGAAGTGCGACGATTACTTGGCAAGGTGCGACGGAACTTTTACGACGACTCGATATTCGCTCGATACGAAGGTGCGTCGGTAGCTCGCAACTTTGCTCGAGCACATCCCGTCGTCGAAGATCCTTCGAATTTGTCCCGGACTATTCGCACGGTGTACGCGTTAGGCCAGGTATTTCGACGCGATTGCGCGAACGTTGAGCAATAATAATAAACGGTTGCGTTATGTATATATTTTGTATGCAAAAAAGTTGCCAGGACACGAGAAATATCGCAGACTGTAGAACGTTGCAACTTTCCGCAGGCCGACAACTTATTTTCCACGCTCTGAATTCGCTTTCGAAACCGCGGCGCGTTAAGAAACTTGGCTATTTTCCGAAAAGATGTTTGAAATCCGCGAAACGCCGCACTCGGCGAGCATTCTCCGTAATTAGCGAATAAGCGACACTCGAGCGCAGCGTCACACGAGACACGGCCTTTTAACGTTTATCGCGCAACACGGGTCAGCCCGTGGCTCCGTTGGTAAATACACGATAGCTGCTCTCGCGCCGCGGTAATTTTCGAACTGGTACTCGTGCATCGTTTCGCTTTAATTACAACGGAGATCGCGTTAAATCGATCTCGGCCGATTACTTTTCTAACCGTACCATGGCCCTCTATTGCTATTGTCCGATCCTCGTAGAATACTCGGTGAACAGAGCGCGCGCGTGCGCGCGTTTCCCTCGACGCTTAACGAGATTCCAACGGGGGACAATCGTTCCAAGTTTCGGCAATTTCACGCGCTTAGAATCGTCCTAGTTCCCGTGATAAAGAATTACCGCTACCTCGTTACGTTTCCTTCCCTTTCGTCTCGTATTTGCGTTTACCCCGCGCGTTGTATCCGCGAATCCTGCGACGGCAGAGGAGAGAAGAGCGCTCCTCTGGCCTCTTCGTCTTTGCGATTCGCCGTCCGCGAGTTCTCTCTGTCCGCGTCGACCGACACCGAATTCGGCTAGAAACTTGGAAATTGGAAAAAAGAGACGTAGAGAGAGGGGGGAAAGGCGGGTGACTGGTGCGGGTTTGGCCGATCTCGATGCCTCCTTTGAGAACGAAGCCAGTGGACTCGCGGTCGCGATCGTACACGCGTGCGCGTCGGTACACGCGCACGCGCGCGCTTCTTTCCAATTAATTGTATTAATCGTCAAATTGGAGGATGCTCAATTAAACCCAATAAGTTAACTATTAAATAATCGTTGCGAATTGAGGCCAGCCGTTCGTGGCGTAGCCGGTATTCGAGTCGTATCGTACTCGCGCGCGCGCGCGCGCGTATGCAGGCAAACGGTTGCGAGCCTGCGATTACCGTTTAACGTTAAGCAAAATATTTTCTATCAACGATCGAGCTTGTTCCGTTAAGAATTTTTCTTCTTCTTCTTCTTCTTCTTCTTCCTCTTCTTCTACTCTTCTTCTTTTTCTCTTCATCTCTTTTTCTCTTTCACACTTTTCTCTCTCTCTCTCTCTCTCTCTCTCTCTCTCTCTCTCTCTCTCTCTTTTTT